GCGTGAGGCAACACAATTCATTTTCCAGTTTGGAAAGGCAATATTTCTTTTCCTTCATTTGGGCAAATAGAGGACTTGTGATGAGAATACTTTCTCAGGACCTGCTGTGCTGAGAATTCATTGTCCTGTTTTAAACTGTTGTAAGTACTGGGGTGGGATCCCTCACTTTATGACTTTCATCCAGAACTTGAATGCCTGCATTTTCCTTTGTTACCTCTCCACAAGAAAGATTATAACTGATTATTCCAGAAACAGTCAAAACTCAACTCCTCCACAAAACAAAACAAAAAAAACCCTTCAGTAAATTAAAGCTGGGTGAAATAAAATCCAGGAAAAAAAATATATATATATATATTCAGATCTAAGTGTTCCTAGTCCTATTTAAAATAATCCAAACCTTGAAGTTCATCACATTTGTCAGATAAACAATACTCAGAATTCTAAATTTCTTTAGGGGTTTTGTCCTCCTAGAGGCGAACAAACCTCTATCCAAATGCTTTGGTGGTAAAAATATTTGTGGTTTACATTAATGTTCACATTGGTGGTGTTGCAATGGTTGGAAAATTTGAGAAAAATATTTACAGACCTGGTTCCTTACTCCTATTTGAAATAGAGAGTATCTAGAGTTTATCTGTGAGTCCCTTCCATTACTGGCATCCTAATCCTGGAGTCATCCTTAACTTCAGCGTATTTTGAAAGTGCTCCTGTCCTTCCGTGATTTTATTTAAAATATTCTTTGGACAAGTCTTCCTCCATAATGATTTTTTTTCTCCTTTATGGCTGTGATCAATTAATATAAATAGCTCTTGTGTGCATCTATAGGTGCCCCCAACTGTGCAATTGTTACTCAGCAGTTATTTAGTACTTGCTCTAGCTAAAGCAAGGAGTAAATGACCATGCAGTAACCACCATTACTGCGCAGTCCTGGTGGTACACAGGTTATTTCTGACACTGCTGTGCAGTAGCTTATTGCTATTGCATAGTAGCATCAGTGTCATGGTTCATGTTTGCCAACACTCCAGCGACATAGCGTCTCATGTAGATGCACCCCTTGTGTATTAAATTTGTATCCCAGTCCTTCATTCTCTCCAAGGTATTCCGTGCCTAATTGTTGGATTTTATGTCAGTTTCATTCAACCAGTTTCAATTTAAATCTCTTTTCCAATAACTCCATTATCTCCATTCCAGTTAGATAAAATATTTTCTCTTTTAATGTCAGTAGCCATTTTTTTGCAAAGAGAAAAATTATTCCTTAAGTTTTTTGGTTTTGTTTTGTGATGTATACAGCATTATAGTGATCATGTACGGATTATATCGTTCAAGTGCTTTTGTTGCTAAAGTTACATATACATATACATTAGGTGGTTCAAATTTGTTTCAAGGTTTTCTTCAGGTACAGCAAAACATTTCAACTGGCATACTGAGGGGACTCCTGTTTTGTTACACTTAAAATTAAAATGTGCCATAGGTTAAGGGGGCTAAGCTGTATGATTTTTTTTGCATAGAAGTGCACCTTTTCACCCCCCCCCCCCCAATCAGCTGATGGAAATTTGGGTATGCATTCTAAGCAAAGGAATATAGTACCCACAAATTCTGCTGTATGAGAGCCAAAAGAAAGAGAAGTAATGCTGCATGTGCTGCACAGGGACCTCTCTACTTTCTGGCTCTTTTCCCCAGCAGAAGCTTATGCTGTCAAAGCTGGCAAATGCTACTGGCTGCCCACCTAACTCAACCAGAGCAGGAAAAGGGGTTGGACATTTTCAGGTCAGTCAACAGCACCTGTGATATTATGTAGCTAGGAGGTTAACAGAGCAGCCAAAATATTTTGCTGCCTCCCATCTACAGTTGCCTGTGTTTCCCTTGGGAAAATACTATACTTACTAGTAATTTCAAGGAAAGATCTTTTTTGAAAGTCAGAATAAAGAAAACGCCAACCCCTCCCCGCCCAACAAAAAACAAAAACTGGGCACCTGTCTTATTTGGGGGCATGTTGTATGCATGAAAAGATGGTATCTTCTTTTCTCATGCTGATACAGAATCAAGAATGTGTCCAAAAAAAGCGCTATGATTCTTATACCATATATTTCAACCAGCATCAGATAGATGACTTCTCTCTCTATGCTGCTTCAGCTAATTTGGCTGGGGTATAGGAGAAACACAATCTATCCTTTCGTTCCCTATCCAATCCCATAGAGCCAGTGTTGCCCCCAGCAAAATGAGCAGCCCCTGCAGTTGAGGAAGCACTTTAGACCCGTTTCCAACCTTGCACAGCCTGGGGGATACATTGTCCATCAGCACAGTAACATATACAGTAATATGCTTGGCTTTAAAATGTCTGTTATACTTCTGTAATAGAAACATTTGTGCGTGCATACTGAGCTGTAGGCTTTATTAGAGTATTCAGTAAAACAGGAACTGTTTGCTCAAGCTAAGATAACAGATAACCATCTTCATCAACGGGTGAAGGTCAAAAGACACCTTTGAGGCATCATTTAAAAAATTTTGCTTCTTATTTTTGTTGTCAAACATGAGATTTTAATAATTGTGGTGTTTTTACTGATGGATACTTATGCTAACTGTGAAAAATGCTTAACTTCTTTTGTGAAACAGATTTGTTATTTGTATTTCTACAAGTAATGGATTATAAATTGCAGAAATGCATTAGTGTGTGTTATTAGTGATAATTATGACTGCATATGGAGTGCTTTTAGCAAATACTAATTTTATGGAAAAAAAACCAGGAAAATAATTGCTATTTTCTTCATTAAAGAATTCCAGACCTTTTGGGGCAGTCAAATTATTTTTCTGTTTTGATTGTACTGCATAATAAAGTAATGACGTGCCATAGTTAGTAATAACTAATAAGCTATTTGCAGAAGAGATGCATCTTTAGTTTTAGAAGAAGCAGAAAATTATCATTTACACTTAGAAAGACATCAATTTGAGACTCTGGGTAAGATTTTCTAGAATAATGTCTTGTGGTTAAAACATACCACAGGAATTAGGACTTCTGAGTTCTTCTTTCAGCTGTACTGATTTCCTGGGGGAACTTGTAGTCTCATAACTTCAATCTGCAAGTTTGTCCATTGCTGAAATGATTATAACATCATCATTTATTTACTTCACAATAAAGTTTTGAAGTAGTATTCATATTTATAGAGTATTTTGAAATTGTTCAAACATATAATAACAGATAAATACAACTAATTATTATCAGTATATTAAATTGCTTTTCCTATAATTAATTTAAAAATTATTTTGCTTC